CCAGTGCCGTCCATCGATTGTCCGGTTGGCATTTGGCTCGCTTTGCCAGTCGCTGCTCGGATTGGGGCCAGTAGTCCCACCGGGAAGGGGTCGGGTAGTCTTCGGTGGTGTCTGCTGTATTGGCTTGAGTTTGCTGGTTGCGCGGGCGCTGTGCGTTGCTGTTGGATTGTTGCTGTTGTTTCGGAGTGCTTGCAAGTGCATTTCAGTGTATTGCTCTGCTCGAGCTCGTTCTTGCGTTGACGACCTCTTTCGCTTCTGCTTCTCTGCACTTTTCTCTTCAATATATACAACAGGTAACAACAGTCTTCAGTTATCGCAACTTTCACGCTGTTCCTTTTTTGTGTGCATGTATTTTTTGGAGAGTGCCCTCTGTAATGGCGCATATGATTGATTTCCAGGAATTATGTCATCGGTGGCTGATAACAAGCAGTCGGCGGGACTCTCTGAAGCGCCCAGTATCCAGACATCCGCTTCGCAGGCCTCGCTTGCCAGCATGACTGCTCCAGCAACCTCGGAAGCACCACAGACTAGCACTTTCTCGTCCAAGCTGCTTCATGTAATTTTTTTGCAAACACTTACAGCTTTTTTGTTGCATCCTAGCACAGTTGCAATTTTAATGAGTGTGTGTTGATGAGGGATGTATTTGTTTCAGGTCGGCTCTGGTCTCTTCAGCATATTCGGTCGCGGCTTTTTGGCAGAGCCAGTGCTACGCGACGAGGAAGAGAGCTATCGTTATTTGATGGCTTTAGAACGTTATTGAAAGATGGCCGATGGTAGCCTAACATCTGATGATGCTTTGATGATGGTGAGAGCCCAATTATCCTCCTCGTTTTTTTTTAAGCTATGATTTCACTTAATTCGCCTCATTGTTGCAACTTCTCCTCAACGATTCCTCTGCATATCGATTAATAGTAGTGGAGGCCGAGCGCCCCCTCATTTTTCATCTTCGAAGGATTTCCTTTTTTTTTCTTCTTTTTACAATGCTTATTGGCCGCGCCTTCTTGTACTATCTCATTTTGCAAGAGCGAATGCATAATTGCGAATAACGCTTGCGGGTTTTTTTGTGCAGAGCTTGCGAAAGCACTGCTTATGATTCCAAAGTATCCGATCTCGCACACAACAATGCATTCGCCCTTTGAGCTTTCAGTTTCAGGAACTTGATGAGTTTACACTCTCCATACAATGGCCTTTTGCAAGTCTCGTTTTTTTTCAGTGTATCCTTTCGGTCTTCGTGTTCGAGCATTTTACTTGTTATGTTCGCATTCTCTGATATGTATTGTCTGCTCTTCTCTCGATTGCTGTTTTTGTTGTGCACTGGGAAAATTGAATCTTTAGGACTCAGCAGAGCGTCTTTTTTTTCCCCCTTTTTCATTATTGAAAAGTGCTTTATTCTTGGATTTTTTTTTTCTTATTTTTGTCTTTTTTTTTGACACGGGTATTTAGCATTATATCGTGCTAATATATCCACACATTTGTCGTGCGAAGTAAAAAGAAATGCACCGTTTTTAAAATGACAGTGAAAATCGTGAAATGAACAGGTTCTCTCCGGCTCCTTGTTTCTGCAAGAAACGGACTTGTCCGGACTGGAGAAAGTTTTGGTTCTGGCTGTCGAGGGTTTTTCAAGAAGAAATCGTTTTTGGTCCGAAATTGGATCCGGGCAGGCGGGTTTGGCATTGACGTTCTCATGAAAGTTCTGACCACAATTTTCTCATGTTTAAGAGAGGGGAAGGGGGGGG